CGCGAGGCGGCGTGCGTCCTCGAGAAAAAGAGGGGGGGGGGGGGGGGGGGGGTGGGGCGTGTCATTACCCGCCGCCCAGCTTCTTGATTGCCTGGGAAGCCGGCTCCATGCTAGGAAAGTACCGGTACTCGATATCGGCGAGTACCGAAATATAATTATCGGTAATCATACTCGATACCAAAGAAACAGTATCGGTGCGTCCATAGCTTGTAAGAAATCCTCTTTTCTTTCTTTTTCCCCTGAACATTTCTGGAGGGGCCGTCAGGCTCCTGTAGATGTCACAGGACCTGCGTCACGTGTTATTTGAAAAAAAACACAACCCCCACATTTCTTTAAATGTGCATGCTCCTCCCTGTTGGGTGCTGCAGACCTTAGCTGTGCAGTCTGTTAACTATTTGCTTGATTTGTAATTAAGCATCTGATCAGCAGATTGCACAGCAGCACAGAGGGAAGAGGCACATCTAAAGGGATGCCGGGGGGGGTGTTAATGCATATAGTGCTCAGGAATAAAATCATTGATGGCAGAGAAAGCTAATTGCGGTGAGAGGCAGGTAATGAGTGAAGTTTTTTAGCCAGGAAATGAAGGCCAGCTTCAGCTTACAAGGATTATATTGCGGAGTTGCACGTTTGCAGGGAATTGACAGAAATCTGTTTTAGCACAGGGAAAGACTTCTACAAATGTGGGGAAAAGTAACACTGGAGTTCAGCTTTAAAGGAGAACTATGAGGGGGGGGTGATTTTCACTCACCTCATAGTTCTAGCCGACCTGTGACAATGAGACTGTCACAGGTCGGCTCAGTAGATCGGGAAGTGAGGGAACACATACCGGCGTTCGCTCACCTCGCGATCCTGTCACGGCCCTCTGCCGTGACAGGGGAGGGGCTGGATTTCCTCCGATCCGCCAGCGCTGGCTGGCGGAACGGACGGGGGAGGGGGCGGGTACAGCTGGCTCTGCCTCTAGATAGGCGGAGCCAGCTGTCACTCACGCAGCTGGGCGGATCCCGGCACAATTGTCGGGATCCGCTTCAGCTGCGGCGTCTCAGTATACCGCGAGCTACAGCTCCCTATATACTGAGCTTAGGGTGACGGGAGGACGCGAGTTTGTGTCCACCCGTTACCCTAAGGAGAACTATGGGGAAAAGCGTTCACCCCATAGTTCTCCTTTAAGCTGTATATCTTCAGCGTGACATCATATAAGGCACCGCTGTCTCTGACTGCTAGTCTTTGTAGATTTGAAGCAAGGCTTGGTGATCTCACTACTGTGCTTCCCATTGTTCTCCTTGCTGGACACACTGACAAGAAGAAGCAAAAGCCCTGCCTCTACCAAGATGGCCGCTTCTATACAGAGACGCAGTGTAGGACAAGGCATGGCAAGCCAGTATTAGGGAAAGATCAAGTGCAGGGAGAGCACAGGCAGTACGGCCCGCGTGCCACCATTGGAGGGGTGACACCAAAATGACTGACACTCATTTTGGTGTCACCCTCTCTGAAAAGTCAGGCACTCCCTCATTGACCGAGAGCCCGACAGTGTCAGGAGAAAAGAGGCGTCAATAAGACGGCCGCGCATTCGCGATGACGTCACGGCGGTGTGTCACCTGGTCTCCCCTCCGGGTGACACCCGGCCTCGGGACACCCCTGCCATTTGGGAAGGACTTCCAGAGTTTAGTTCCTCTTTGAATGTTTTCCCCATGTAAGTGATGTCTCACCACGTGCTTCAGCAACGTCATTGATGTGCTGCGGTGACCATTTTGAATAGCACCCCAGGGTACCTTGCTGGCACACCTCAAGGCCCCAATGTGAATCATCTTGCATTGAAACAAAAAATTGCACTTTTTTGTTTTTTTATTGCACTGGCAGCCTATTTATATAGCCCTACCCATGTCCCCGGACAAGTGTGAAGGGGCTTAAATCTGACCCCCCGGCCTTCCCTTGGGTCTTGCACAGTTGTACCACCTCCTCTCCTGAAGATTAAACTTTAAATGTTTGGTTAGACTCCGGGGAGTCCCAAGGCTGGGTGTCACCCGGAGCAGTTACCGGGTGACACCCCGCCGTGACGTCACCGCGCATGCGTGGCGATCTTATTGATGACTGCCGGCGGCCATCTTGGTGATGGACGCTGGCAGGGAGAGGAGGGGACAGACATGGTATGCAGCCGGGTCCCCTCCTCTCTCCCGAAACTGTTAGGCGCTCGGTCCATGACCGAGTGCCCGACATTTCAGAGGGGGGGGGACACCAAAATGATTTTGGTGTCACCCTTC